AGTCCGTGGATTGGTCAATTTGGACCAATCAGCGGGAGCTTAACGTAACGTATCGCGTCATAGCTCTGGGCGCGGCTACTGGCCATTCCTACGTCACAATACCCAGGAAGTAAACAATGGACAATGACGTATCTCCAACGAGGCGTTTTGGGGAGGTATTTTCGGTGTTAGAGTTTTACTCGCTACAGGGTGTACTTTGAGGGTTTTTGACTCTGCACACCGTTTACATGCATAAAAACCTTCATAACACACAAGGGGACGGGTAATAACCGGAAAAGCATGACATGGGACCTTTAAATTGTTCTACTTCTGTGTGTTTACTGTAGTGATGCTGGTAGATATGTTTATGCTATGATCATTTCTGTTAAAGTCCACTGTTGTGAACAGATGTAAAAGGACAGTGATACATTGAAGGACGAAGTGGAGATGTGGCCAAGAACAACAACATTGCTGAATTTCAACAATTAAATTAAAACTGTTACCTGGATGGAAGATTTCAGCATTCAAATTTTTTCAGCGTTACGATTTTTTAAAGTTTTAGATGACTCGGTTATTTATTCCATGCAGTTTTATTTTCATACTTTAGGTACATGTTGATGATAACACTTGTGTGCTGAACATCTCAGTCCAACAACATAAACATCATCATCCTATTTACACTCCACTTAGATTTCTGACAAAGGCTGTTGACTGTGGAAAATATTAGTCTGCTCAGGTCCCTCTGATGCAGTCATCTGAGTGTTGTGGTATTTCTTCATTCCCTCTGTGGAACATCTGGCATTTGGGTATGAGCACACAGGAAATCAATTAGAACATGCTTCAGTTCAATATGTAAAATAAAAGGTATTGAGTTGTGATTCTGTGAATCCTACAACCTCTTAAAGTATTACGTTACAGACGGTGTGTAAAATGTAAGCATCTTGCATTGGTAAAAATCTGGCTTTTTAATAAATATTAGAACACTTGCACACAAGACCAAAGAACCGTCAGCTTTCTGCTGCATTAGAGAAAACTAAAATAAACAGTGCTTTTGCTTGTCCATGGAATTGATAGAAATTAATGTAATTATAATAATATTGGTAATGGATGGAGCATTGAAAAACATGAACCAGCCCTAAATAGTCACTTATCTGAATTCACTGAGGATGTCTGACCTTGAGGTGGGGATCTGTGCCCTTGAGCAGAGGCCCATTTGATGATACTGGCAGGAAGGCGTGTAGGGATAGTTGTAAACTTCATAGCACATGGGATATGGGGCCGCACTGGGGCATGGACCCATGGACTGAGCTTGAGGACAAGCACTTGAGAAGGAAACACCTGGGTCCTGTCCTACTGTCCTTTTTGAGGCAAAACGCTCAATGTTTCTCTTCCTCCTGGGGCGATATTTATAATCTGGCATGATATGACAAAGCCAAGAGCACGAGTAAGTGAAAGTCAGATGTTGACCATACATATCAGATCAGATTTAAACTGAAAACCTACTGTATATCTGCACACAGGACTCAACAGTAACCTTGAGTAAAACGTGTTTACCCTCTAATCAGCTGTGTAAATGTCCATACCAGGGAAATGCTGCCAGTGAATGTATTTCAGTATGTCAGCCACTTCGTAGTAGGGCCTCTTCTTCTCCACACTGAGTTTGGACCACTCGCTGCCCAGCAACTGATAGGTGTACGTCATGTTGACTAAAGAGGCATCTTTTTTAAGGGCACGCCGATGGATGCTAGCCCAAACGAAGTAGGCATTCGGGGGCCGTTTAATGTGTCCATTCTTGTCTGGGACAGTCTGCAACCACCTAATATCTGAAGGTGATTTTTTTTGGAGACACAAACAATGAGTTAGTCAATTTTTTATTCGAATTGAATCAGCTATAAAATGTCACACATGTACATGGCACCGCCCACACATATCTAGACACTTTATTAAACCTGTAATAGTGGATCATTGGGCAGCAGGGCCCAGGGAATAATGTGGGGCTCAAAAGCAAACTGGCATCTCTAAAAAGTCCACACAATGTACAGTACTTGGTCTATTTGGTACTGCCGCCCATTGCATAATACAGTCTTTATTTTGGATTTAAGTGAATTTCAATTTGCTACCGGATTTAGCATCACATTTTTGTTTATTCTAGTCAGATTTTTTTACTTTGTTTGTCATTGATTTTTGACTTATTGTTATTGTCTTGATTTAGGATGACTTTAATGTCAAAATATGACTTGGACTATATCAATTTTGATTTGATTAGCTCATAAATTACATTTAAAAACATTTTTTGACTTAGTGTCTCATCATTTTGCCTCCACCGTTACAATTACTGTATGTTTTCCTATCTCTCTCCATACTTTCACACCATCACACACAGGCCCTATGGGGTACTGTACCTTCCTCCGTTGGCGCGATAGTAAAACTGATGACCTGACCATCAGCTCCTGTGGGTGAGGTTGGGGTGAGGTGGATTGGACCTTGGTTCAGAGGGTCTCCAGCTGCACCCTGCCTTATCTTTGAGACCCGCAGCGGGACCAAGTAATCCTTAGATGAAAAAGGGTTCACAGTACTGACCTGGAAACAGTTGTGGAAAGTAAGAAGTGCATTTACGGTAAATACAGATTCAAAGTACTTGTAGTTTATTATTATTTTCATGTGACTTTATACTTTTACTCTGCTACTTTTTTTAAGATGTTAAAACTTTGTTTTTATTGTTTTTCGTTTTTGTTACAATAATGAACAGACAAACAATATGAAAGCAGACAGGGTCATCCTGGGTAAAAATAAATGCTTACTATGTTTTAGAAAATATTATGCATAATATACATACATAAAATACGTACTTGCACACACATCTATACAATCGTATACACACTTAGATGCTCTAACAGTATGTGCATACGTGTATACATATTTAGGGATGTAGGGCTAACAAAGGCAGGGTTACTAATCTGCTACCTCACCACAACGTTTGTTCGATAACTATAGTGACTGATTACTTTGCAAATTGATGAAAACTAAATTTATAAACAACAAACAAATGATGACGTATTTGAAGAGGCTAAGATAAACTTAATTAAACCCTTAGGGGAAACTCACAAACTACCCAGCAGTATCCTCAATCGTTATAAAATAACCCAAAAGGATGATGCAAACACCTTTCTGATGATGATGATGATTATAATATAGGCCTACATCAGCCTATGATTATGACACTATTACATAGGGAGTTTTTCTGCATTGACTACTTTGGCTTCTGATGCTCAAAGAATATATTTGTTTTACTAAAGTAACATTTACAATGCATTACTTTTGTTTTCAATAGAGTAGTGAAAGGCACTGACCATTGGGGGCTTGTCAGTGTTGACCCCATTTCCGGTTAAATCCAGCGGATGAATCTGATCCGCGGATCCGGTCTGCAGGCACTGAGAGGCGGCCCCGACTGCCGGTGTCCTCACTGGGTCTTGTCCCGCGTTTCTGGTTGACCATAACGATTTTATTTGAACTCTCATTGTTATTATTTTTATTGCAATGACCGTCGCTGTAATTCCGATTTGGCTCTGTTTTAGTTTTTTTTTAAACCCGTATTGTGACAACTGGAATGCTCAGACAACAGAGAACGGGTTTGGAAATAAATAAGAGCAACGTTCCAGATGCAAAATGTTTTTATTTCTATTTATAATCATACTGTTAGCTCTATTTTTTTGTGAATACATGTAATGTCCCCCACGTGATTTTTTTTTCAGGACCTTTAGTGCTACTCAGTGTAGAAAACATATGTAACAAGTAAAGGTACTGCATTCATACAATTAGCATAGAAATACACTTGTGGGACCAAAAGTACAATTACTCATTATACAGAATGGCCGAATTAACCATTTGATATCTCTTGAATGTTTTTGCTTTATGTCTTCTTTAGACAAAAACAAGACAAACTCTCTGGTGGTGAAATAATATTTCATTTGTTGATTTAAACTGTGTCCTACATTACTGACAATAACACACAAAGTTGCATACTCTTACAAAAAATGAAGAAACCGAATCTTTAATGTTATAATTTAATTTAATGTCGAATGAAGTACAGAAAATATAGAGAACAATAAAATGAAACGAGCTTTACCAAAAAGAAACAAAAACATGATTCCCTTAAACTATGATTATGTTATTAGTAGCTCTCACATATGAACAAAAGCTTACAAGGACACTAATCAAATATTAAACTAATAGCTATGGAATCATCCTTCTGAGAGTAACAAAATAAAGATTTGGTCGAGAGCAGTGCCTCAGAAAATGACAAGAGGCTCTGCTAAGCTGTGTTAACACATCAAACAGCAAACACTATACACAAAGTCACACACACTAATTCATTCTATTCTCACACACTTCACTCAAGACCCCCAAACACTTAAGCATGCTCTCAACTAACCTTAAAAATAATTCATTCAAACTCAGCTATTGAATGAACTCCTCCAATGTCCATGTCAAATTGAAGGGCAGTTATTTCTTGGTACAGGTGGTGAGTTGCAGATAGGCAACCTTTGCACCAAAAGACTACCAAGTTTGCTGACAAAAACAGTTTGTAATTACATGTACATTGCTAGGTTGACCAAAAATGCTGAAGTGAGCCACCGTCTTAAATATGGAAACATTTTAGAGGATGATAACGTTCAGTCTTGTAGATAATGATTATCATGTCCCCTTTTCATTCAAATTAAAAAAGATGATCCTGTCCCTCTATCCATAAACTGTACACTATATGGTTTCATCATTATCGCAACGTCAGCAACAGAAGACTTTGATATCGAACTCAAGGATATTTCAATTTTTAGTACCAGCACAAAGCTGTGTTTGAACATGTAACTATTATAATTGTTTCTTGTGCCAATCGGTTCAATTTGTTTAATAAAAGAATGTTAGAAATAATTTCTTATATATTATTTTCATTACAAAAGCAATTTGTTGAATTTGAGCAGTATTCTGAAAGCAGCAGAAAGGCATAACTGACGACACATCTGTTTCATTTCCCTTGTTATATCTTTATTGCGATATTCAACAAGGTTATCACTTATCGCACATTTTCCCCATCTTGAGAGGAGAAACCTTTCTTTAGTAGAAATCTAAATAAAACACTGACAAAGACTTTAATCAGACAGAGGCATCCAGAAAGTTACTGCTCATTATAATATTAAGAGCTGAACATTTTAGGGACCTTTGTTCTGGGCATGTTAAGGTTTCACTCATTAAAAAACTTTAATAAAACTGTTGGTGTTTATTGAACATGAAATTATTCTGAACTGCTACAAGACTGAGCAAAAAGAGGAAAGGGGAGAAAAAGTCAAATGCAATTCATCCATAAGGCTCAAGAATAAGCATACACTCACTCTGCTCTCTGCTGGAGGACCAGAGTATGGATTCACTCAAATGAAGACTTTGTAAATGTTTGCACTGATTTGTCATAAAGGGGGATATACTGTAGTTAATTTATGAAACAGGAAAAGAGGGAGAACCTTTTCACCCACAGGTAAGTAATGACTATAGGCTCTTTAAGTCTCTCTGTATGACATCATTTCACACATCAAACAGTTGAGGGGCACCTGTGGGTGCTCTGTCCTCCATCAACATGTCACAGGCTGGGGGATGATGAGCAGTCGCCAGCTCGCCACAGACAGCAGAAGCAGCGAGAGAAACATGCAAGGTGTTCTTCAAGTACAGCAGTCCTTCTGTGGTTCAAACTCTCATAATGTCAGACATGCACCCTCACACACACACACACACACACACTCAAACACACACACTCAAACACACACATTTGCACTCCTTCATTTTCCAAAACTGCCAAAGTTAGCGAAGGCATCCTGTTTGGGAGGAACCATGGCCAGGCTGATGGAGTGTGCTGCTCCTGGCACTCCCATGCCTGCCATCCCGCCCATCATCACTGGAGCGGCCATGCCCAGATTCATGCTCATGTTCATTCCCATCATGCCTTGGTTTACAGGAAGTCCTCCCATCCCCATGGTCCCTGTGGTCATAGAAGGGGGGAGACTCGATGACAAGATAGCAGGCATTCCCATGGCGTTGCCGGCCATCATAGGATTGGCTGGTGGTCTGATAGGGTTCACGTGAGGCGGGGAGCTGAGGTTCAGTCCTCCGAAGTTCTGGGACAACAGGTTGAGGGGAGGAACTCCTGCACATAAACATGAGCAGGGAGAAGTTAGTACTAGGTTTTACCAGTAAGTGAGATAGTAAAACTGACAAACGGTCAAGTCACATTTATTTATCTTTTTTACATCTGCAGGCTGTACAAACAGAAGATGAATCACAATTTGGAAGATGATACCTTGCTGCTGGATGATGTTGTTGAGTGTGGGCGGTGTCTTGGAGGGGTTGAGGCCTGCTGATAGGAAGTCCAGGCTGATGTTGACGGAGGGGTCCGACCAGGTAGAGCCTAACGATCCTGGACCTCCAACACCAACCTTCTGCTGATCAAAGGGCTGCTGAGAGCCTCCCAGGCTCTAAAATAAAGAAAAGCATATTGTGAAGAACTCAAAACTGAATGCAAGTAACAGCCATAAACTGGAACTTCATACTAGGGACAAACTGATATCTGCATGTCATTAGTATCAGCAGATGAAGGCATTCAAATTAAATATTGGAATTTGTCAGAAATGTATATTTCCTCAAATATGAAAGGCCAATAGGATGATGTGTATACGCACATGATGTGAACCATTGACAAAGAGAGTGCAAAGGTGAATGTGTGCATTTAAGAAGAAAAAAAAGGTATAGTCTATGTTTGCATCTGCCAGTGGGCCATTATAATGATATTGAGACTTCTGCATAGACAACATTTAAATATTTAATTATATTTGTGCCAAATTATCATACATGTGTGCATTCCTATTTTAGATTTATTGAACATTTGAACTAGAAGCATTCTTCAAGGGTGCACTGACATCAATCTTTATATACAGGGGTGCACATAACTGGTACGCAGGTATGCATGCGCGGCAAACATCTGAAATGCGCACCGTCACTTGTCTCACTAAGCGCATTTGCGTACCGGCGGACTTGTGAAGCATTTCCAGAAGGCGCTTCGATCACTGGACGACAGAGCCGGTGTACAACGGAATTGTGCCACAACTTCCGGTGCGAGTTCCACGCGTGTGCTCTACTAGCGCCCACCCCTCCCGTCAACGTACAATACTATACCCCCACCGACAAAACGCACCCCCCCACCCATCGACGTTCGCGAAACAGAGGGGCTGAACACATAACTTTGCGTGGGCAGCCCTGAGTACCAAACATTTTCCCCTGGTACTCATTTGAATAACTCACTAAGAAAGTTAAGTGCACCCCTGTTTATATAAGTTAGGAGTCCCTGTCCAGGAAGGGAACCATACATACCTGTTGAGAGCGAGAAAGGGGCATTGTTGGCATAGCAACAGACGCCCCTGGTGTTGCACCTCCCAGAGAGAAAGTCATGCTCTGAGAGGCGCTCAGCGTTGCGTGTGGATTGGTTAGCTGATGGTTCACTCCCCCCATCAGATCAAAGAGCTCTGCAGAAGGTGGGACGGTGGCAGGTTTGGAGCAGGGGGCGGACTGGACGCTGCCGAACAGATCAGTGACGGGCTGGGAGGAACCGGAGGGGGAAGCTGGCTGATTGGCCCCAAAAGCATTCCAGTCTCCAAATTCCCCATTTCCATTGGATGGGGCAGCAGCTGGCCACAGGAGATTAGAGACATGTTAAATTATTATTATAACATTCATCTTGGGCTTTGACACAAACAGACTCTTTCACCTTGTCCTAAATGTACGGCAATTTTCTAAAAATCTTTTGGGCGTTGCCATAAACTAGCATCTAATAAAACTGTGACTGACATTAGGCTTTGTGGATTTGTTTTGTTCATCAGTTGATCTTAAGTCAGTTTAATTGTTTCTTTTGTACGCTCTTGTACAGTGATGGACACAGACTCTCTCCATATCCCTACACTCAATTTTCTGTATGAATAACTTTCCCCCTTGGTCCGGTCAAAATGTACCGAACAAAAGCATCTGATGGAGGGAAGACCAAGTTTACCTGTGGAATTTGGGAGGCTGGCAGAGGCTGCAGGAGAAGAGAAGTCAGCAAATCCACCAATGAGGCCTGAACTGCCACCTGGAGGGTCAGAAACATGCATTATATACAAAAAGAAAAGAAAATCAAAGGACTAACAACTCTCTGGTCCAATAAAGAGTGACAGGACTTGTACACCACCTTTTAAATGATCAGATTACCAATCAATTATAAATGAATTTAATGGCAGGATTAAATGTAACGTTATATTTTAATATAATATTATAAGAATGGTATACACTTCACATATTGAGTCTAACACATTGATCTTTACAGTGCACTGGTATGTTGCCATTGTTTTGTATTTAAAGCAAAACAAAAAGGGTAGCAACACTACAGTACAGTGCAAGGTATTTGTTTTGCAGAGCAGCAAAAATAATCCAGAAAGAACCTGAAAGTTTGCATGTAGGATCAATTCAATTGTAGGAGTACCGGTGCTGATCTAAGTTTAAATCGGACAACACTAGGGTGCCAAACTATTGGAGCCCTTGAAAGATGGCAGCATTTTCCCAACTGAAAGGCTAAAAGTACACTGTACTGTGATGTTGTTCCCCTTTCCTGCTTTACAAACTAAATAATGACAACATTTCAGCATTTTATTTTTCTCTTGTCTATATTTGCATATTTCATTTTGAGGTCATCCATAAGTAATGGGAAGTGATTAAGTTAAGTTTCTTTGTAATACTTAGATCAGTTTACAGAAAGGAGGCAATTAAGTTATCCTCCCAACTTTTTACAACACCTAGACCAAGATCCTGGCCCTTGTTTTTGATATCTTTGCATTCGTGAAAGTTTGTATTTACCTGTTGCAGTGCTCTGATTGGATAAAGGGTCAATCACTAGTAGGTCAGCTAGGCCGCCACTCGAAGACTGCCTGAGTGATGCCTGAAGACAGAAGCAGAGAGAAGCAGTGATTAGAAATGTACAATTCAAAATGTATCCCACATTTTTAAGTGTGTGTGTGTGTGTGAGAGAGTGAGTGAGTGAGTGAGTGAGTGTGTCTTTCACCTCTGGGCTCTTGTCTCCGGTGTAGTGCGCTGCAGCTCCCAGGTCCAGAGTCTTGTTGCTTGTTGCTCCGCTGCGTTTCCGCGTGGTCGTCGTCGTTGTTTCTGTTGCCTGTGTGATCTGAATACTCTTCGTTGTGACAGTTTCCTCCTCGTCTTTGAACTCAAGGGTTTCCTGCCTACCGTTCCTCGATGCTCGATCCTCCTCGTTGTCACTATGGCAACCGGACATGAAGGACGAATGAGGAACAGCACTCAGGAGATTTTGTATTGATTGTTTTTTGTATGTCTGTGTTTGTTTGGTTATGTAAGGGTAGATATTTATTTCAGGTTTCTACCAGAACATGTTTACATGCTTTAATGTATAAAAAAACCACATCATTTTCCCCAGACTGTCTCTCTGAGTATACCAGTATCAATGCTTCATTAAGCAAGCTTCTCTTTAAACCCTTCTTTAGAAAAAGCACAGCCAGCTCTTATAGCCTTGGGAGATACAATTGAAGTGTAGCTGCGGATAAAGAAACACAGATTGGGGCGGTATATTCATATTCAGCTAAAATGAAATGTAATATATTCTAATAGGCCTGAATGTGATGTGAAGGGCAGCCAAATCTGATTATATGTAGCCTAAATCAAATGACAGCGAGGCTATGACTATCTAAAGTGCGTGGTGAGGTGATATTGGTGATACTAACAGTGGGTGCATTTACCTGATTCTCTCCGGTGAGTCGTCTCGTTCCTTCTTCCTGAACTTGTTGATTGTGTCGTCTATGGTGCTGCCTATCTTGTCACTGATCTCTCCGAGCTTCTCGCTGAAGGGGAAAGCTCCTTTGCTCTTATCCCAGTCCTCATCCCACTTACTCCGATCCAACTCGTTAGCTGGAAGGAAGAACACGTAAAAAAGGAGAGAATAAACCTGAGCTGTTTTACAGACATCCGTCAAGTCTTAATCAAGAACTATATCATTTAAATGTACACACAAAAGAAAATCCTTGCATTGTAGAAGTTGGAAGAAGTTGATCAATAAATGTTTTTTAACTATTAAATCAGTGATTTTTTTTGAGGATCGACTTGTTGACTAATCTATTTACATTACAGAATAAATAATATCCGCAATACTTGCCAAAAAAATGACGGTTTTAAAAGGTTTTAGTATATGGGCAGACAAGGCTTAACTATATTTGATAAAGTTTTGTGTTTCACATCATTGAAGAAATCTCTATGTATAGACTTAATAAAAAAATGTCTACAGTGTTTGCTTTACATGATATCCATTAGGAATGCTCCGATATCGGCCGATACTCACTCTCTGCCGATCGATCGGTGCTCTCTAAAAATGCCTATCGCGAGAGCCGATCGCATGACGTCAAATGATGACGTAAAATACATGACACTTTTCTCTGTGCGCGGCAAAACAAGCTCGCTAAAATGGTTCACCAGTCTGGCAGTAGTTTAAGGTGTCCGAAAATGACAATAAAATAGCGGTATGCAACGCGTGAAGCAGAAATCCTGCAGCTCTGCCTGCTGTGACGGACGGACGAGCAAAACACACACTAAGAGTTAGACCTAACACACTTAGCTATTGTATCTACCTCTGGAACCAGCTAAACTAGTTATAGATATATGTATTCTTCACTGTCGGGTCACTCAGTCATTACTGGATCAGCCTGTCAGGAGAGAGAGAGAGGGGGAGAGAGGAAAAGAGAGAGGGGGAGAGAGGAAAAGAGAGAGGGGGGAGAGAGGAAAAGAGAGCGCTTCCGCTAATTTCTCCCGTGTTATTATCCAAAGTTAATGTAAACTTGAATAATGTACTTCATTTGAATGTAATAATTATGTTGTTTGTGGAAGCGCCAGTGAATGAGCCCCATTAACTGAGTTTTAAACATCACTTTAAATGGAAGATCCCCATAGGCCCCGCCCACTCGGTCGGATCGGCGATAGGTATCGGCCAATACTGATTCCGGCGATGGGCCCCAAAATTGGCGATTGGAGCATCCCTAATATCCATCATTCAAAGCATGTATAGGGAAAGTTATTATAACCATTTAATTCACATTTGTCATTCGCTGTCAAAGGAGGCGCACTGAATTACTTACAGTTCTTGATAATTCCGCCTACTCCTCCTGCTAATACTACTGCTCCTCCTCCTCCCATACTGTCACAGGACACTCCGATGTATTTATCTTTGTTCTTCTTGGCTTTCTTCCTTTCCTCTCTCAGTCTGTCGTCGTCCTGGACAAACTCCACCATCTCCTTCACCTTCTGACGCACATTGATGCCCTGATCCTTACCGCTCTCATCTGGACAGACGCACAGAAAGAAAACTCAGGAGGACTGGTAGAAATGCTGGTTAACTCAGGATCCTGTTTTTTTTATAATGCAGGAATGCTAACAATGAAATGAACAGAATTCCGTCTTGTTGAATACACTGTATGCATGCTCCCCGGAGAAAGAACTCTGTATACTTTGATCTTTCTAAGAGTGTTTATTTTGCAAACAAATTAACATAAAAGTTAAGACGAATTTTCATTAAGAGACTCACCAATGAGGTGGTAGTTTTCTAAAGATCGCAGGTCGTAGATGTGTTCTCTGGCGCTGGTGACGACTCTTTCAGACCCATTCCTGATCAGATAGGCCAACAGTAGCAAAGCCTGTGTGTAGAGGGTGGAAAGGGATAGTAAGAGATGGACTGAAAGACGTGACAAGAGTTAACTTTGGGGAGGATTTAGGTTCAATTGCTTTGACAGAAATAATCTTTCCTTAAAAGAAAAAAATCAGTTCTGCTTTACTTAACTGTCCCTTCTTTAAACTTAAAAAAACCCAAATCATTCAATCTTCCTTGGCAATTTCATAATTTATAATGTTTTCATTAAAGTATTTTGATTGTGTGGGAAGGAAACAAATTCAGTTATAATGCAACATTGCTCTAAAATGTCACACGATACATACAGAAGAAAAACAGAGAATGAAAAACCCAGAATGACATGGATCCAATTAGATATGTAACACTGGAGCACATATGGGTGTGTGACTTCGTTAACAAAGAGGAACAGAGACTCGGCTTTGATGAATCCTGATACAACAATACAGAAATGAGCTGCACAGAACAACACCACAGTTACAGTACAACACAGACACATCTGGGGAACATCCAACGAACCACAGTGTAACGATACCTTGTACACTCGTCTCCAGTTCTTCTTGTTGTCCTTCAGCATCCTGGTCCACAGCATGTTCATCACCTCTGGGAACTGCTCATACATAAAGGTGGATCTAACACACACAAACACAAGACCACAAAAGTTAAAGTGCTTTGAAAACCCAATGCATGTTAACCAAAACACAATCAGGTCAAGTAATCGGGGCCCGTAGTACAAAAACATCTTGACCTTCAGATACTATCTTACCTGTGACAATTGTAGAAAGGGTTTAGCCCACAATGCATTACGGATTAACAGTTCCTAATTCAATGCTCCTACCGTAACTTAAAATAGGAGTACCGCATTAAAAAGGAATCCTAAATTGCCCAAATCTTCTTACGCAATGAAATATCAATAGGGTCTGTGTGTATGTGTGTCCGAGACATACTTGGCTATTTCTCCCATCAGTTGTCCGGAGGGTCCCCAGGGGTCGTCATTAGTTGCCTCTCTCACCTTGGACTCGATCTCGGAGTAGTTCATCACCACATTAGTGCTGTTGACACAAACATTTTCTTTCAAATGTACTCCAACACATTTTGATATTAACATCACTATTTCAAACATGTAAAGGTGAAACTCTGTGGCTTTGCTTTCTGATCTTACTGTTAATCAGTCTGCATTGCAAGTTATCAGCAAATGTTCTGATGTCCTGATTCCCTCTTATGTCAGACAGACCCAAATACACACATTTGTATATCTACACACTTTTACACAACACAGATGTAGTGCTACACATGAGAACGCCTCACTCATGCAGCACACACTAAAGCTGACAATACGTTAAAAAAAAGAGGATTAGAACAACAAAGATATCTTTTATGCAGGTGTCGTACAGACAAAGAAACCATGTAAGACAAGGAGAATCTCAGCTGCCTGAATTATAAATGACAGCTTTCTAAAAGCCTGACCCCTGCACTTCAGGTGGACACACCAGCGTTGTGTGTAATAAATGATTCAGCTTTACGGGGCACAAAAGGGAGATGAGACGGTGTGTGCATGAAAGAGAGGGGAGCAGGGGGTGTGTATCCATCTGTGTGTGTGTGTAAGACAGTGAGGTAAACACAGCCAAACCTCGCCATAAGCAATGCCTGCTTCCTGTCCGCTTTGATTCTGTGTGCTCACCAGCTGCTGTGTTTGTGTTCCTGTCTGTGTATCTCTTGATGTGCATTGCTTGCTTTACAGACCCCCGAAAACCACAGCCAAAGCACTAAACATGTGAACCACACAGCTTTCACTTCATTTCCTATCATGTTCTTTTTTCAGATCCTCTTCGCCTCTCCCAATCTGATTGATTGATTGATTGATTGAAAAGTTTATTAACAGCTTGTATATTGGGTACAGTACAGTACAGCTCAAAACATACAATTGTTAAGGGGATGCAGACCAGAGAAAGACTTTCGTCTTGTTTACATCAGGGTCCCCCATTTCCAATTCATCATGTCATTTAAGACATATTTGACATACAGATGGCTTATTTAAAATTTACATACAGGTGGTTTTTTACATACAGATTGCTTATTTACAATTTTCATTTTAGATTTCGTTCTAATACATCCTAACCGGACATTTAAGACATACCAAGTCTACAGATATAGTTAGTAACAGAGTCTAAAATGCGAGTATATACATAGATGGGGGGGGGGGGTAAGCTGTCCATTGTACGACAGGTTGAGATTTGTACCATTACCGGGGCCAGTTTTACAATGCTCTCCCCCGAAGGTGCTCTTTAAGAGAGGTTTTGAAGGTAAGTATAGTTTCACTTTCCTTTACAGTTGTGGGAAGAGCGTTCCACCTTGATGTGGCATAATTGCGAAACGTGTATTCCCCCTTTTTTGTGCCAAATCTGGGTTTCACATGATTTGTGGAGCTCCCTCTGGTGTTATGATCATGGTATTCCTTGATCTTTGGGAAGAATTTTGACATGTACATGGGTACCATAGAGGTGTGGATCTTGTAGACCAGGCCCATTGCAAGTAGCTGTACTCTGTCGTCTACTCTAAGCCATCCTAGTTTGTCAAAGTGGGCAGAGGTGAGGTGGGTTCTAGATGAAAGGTCAAGCAGTAGTCTGACCAGTTTATTTTGTGATGTTTGAAGTTTTATTTTTAGCGCCTTAATCTCCTGATTCTATCTTCCTCTTTCCTTCCACAGCACCTTTCCTTGCCGTCTCTTTCCCTATAAGCTCTGCCACTCTCCTAGCTGAAGGAAATAAGAGGCATCTGTACATCACAAGAGCTGCCTTTGACTGTGTTATTGTCGGTAGATTAGACAGACATAGACAGCGAGAGCTCCATAGTAGTGTGACTCTTCATCTGCAGGGAAAGCAAGGCTGCTGCTGCCAGCTCTATTGAGGTAGATCAATAATGGAGTGTATTCATCAGGCCCAGCCAGGCACATTATTATCTATTATTCCGTTTAAATCTCTGTTGAGCTCTCAGACTGTGCGACTTTACTGTATATTCCCTCTTCTTATCTCCTTTCTTCTCTCTCTTCACTTATCTTTCCTTTATGCAAATCAACCGGTATTTTTCCCTGATCAGATTTTGCTAAATAATTTGACAAATAAAGTGTAAAGCCAGCCAGAGAAAGTGGGGTCTCAAATGAGGAAATGTGGAAAATAGAGCTATGATTTTGAAAATGTAAAAAGAAAGAACTTAGGGACGACCTCCTCTTGGAAGCCTTGTTGGCCATACCAATGTTTTTATCTCATCATGGTCTGTATTTAAAGAGGTATACAGGGCAAAATGAATGTTAGAGTTCATCAAACTCTCTTCAATAAAAACATTATTTTGGAATATATAATATCGCACTCTCCTTGCCACTGGGCAGTTTCTCTAAATAAAAGGTTTCAAGGTTTCAGTATTCAGATGAAATAACTACAGTCTGAGTGTTCATACAACACTCCCACACAGTATACCTTACACTGCAATTAACCTTATTTTCAGAATTGATAAAATGCAAGTGCACATTAACAAGTAGGGCTTACTTATTTGGGAAGAAAATTGTAATTACAATTATTTTGACTGCAAATGCAATATGATTTACACTATTGGAGAGAATGCTCAGTGTTGCAGAATCATTCTCACTTTCATTGAGAAACATATGAAGTATATACTATGGGTCATACTTTACTCCCTTAAGGAAAAGCATTAGAAACACCGCTCAATATAATGCAGTCCAGTTCAGCGGCACTGCGAACTGTACATGTATATTTAAATGAACCCACTCAGACAGTTTCAACCAAAGCCGATATTCAAATCATATTTCGATAACAGAGACGAGTATGCCACTTATAAAATGTCCTAAGAAATTAAGACGGACATCAAAACTCTACCACCAAAATGTAAATTATTTGACAAACTGTAGGAAAAAACCCGAAATGATTAAGAAGAGTACGCAACTAATAATGAATTGCACCTAGATTTCACTCAGTAGCTGAATTAAGTATACATAGGAAGTTTTTCTATTTTATGTTATCTTTAATTATTTGTACAGCTCTTGTTACTAGTTTCTTTACACACAAACAGGAGGGTAGGCTGTTGTTGTCCCACCTCCTGGGTAACAGTATAATGACTATATCAATTATACTGCCCATTATACTTATATATCCCACAGACACACGTCACAATGAAGCATGTAGTCTAGCACTCAGAGAAATAATCAAAATATAGTAGTCTGCATCAACAACAGTAGCCATTACAGTATGATCTAATGGACGAGCTTTGTTGTCCTAACTGTCCGGGACCAGGGGGTCATCGTGGGCTGCGTTGAGACATGGTTGCTCGCTTATTTCCAGGAAAAGTACTATCCACAAACAATTATCTGGCGTATTAGCTTGCCATCCTTGATGCTTAGCTTCCCAATGAGGAAACAATGTTAGGTAAATGCATGGTTTAGGTAGCGGGCATCAGGGTGGGAAAGGGCGTGATTCCGCAGCACCAACACACAGAGACGACCTGGGCTTAGCAATACTAGCGAAAACAGCTAACTGGATAGCGTTCGTTGTGGTTTGGAACTAAATGAAGTCGGAGTTTGTAATTGTAATTTCCATGGCCTATATGAATAGGTGTAGAAAAAAACATGCAATGGGAGAATCTATTGTTAAACACAGTGTTGAAGATTGGCAGCTTGCCAGCTAGGAAGAGCTAACAGCTGAGGGGCTATCTCCGTGACGTATCCTGTCCTCTCTCAGCGATAAAAGCTGCTGATGCTGCCCGGCTAAAGCTGCTGATGCTGCCTGGGTAAAACCGCCTAGCTAGCCGGTTAGCTTAGCAGCCACTTAGCGGTTGAGCCAGTGCTCCACCTGCTCCTCGGTATTACTCACGCTTTGTCCACTAGCTCTCTGACTTTCCACATATTTAGCATCTCCGCACGGAACTGCGGGATTGCCGACTCGATGGTGTGTTGCCCCCGTGCCTCTTCGCCTCACAAGACAGAGGAGGTGTCCCGTTACCGACGACAATCCCCCCCCAGCTCCTTGATAAGCTCCGGTAGTACAACGGCCGCTGCGGTTAACGGTTCGGCCCCAGTTGCTACGGGAAACGTCGTTCTCTGCCTACGTCACTAAAGCGTCGATATGTTCCCTCGCTTATTAAATACAAAAAGTGAAACGATTAACCTATTATTATCACAATTAAATAAAAACACGGTATGTTACTGCCAACATCTAGATGGTTTTGGTCCTCATTTTGAGTGATATACAGAATACAGTAGGAGAGAGCATGGGAAATCAGTTATACATAGCCTACTGTGCCAATTCAAAGCAATGGCAATGTCAAAGCAAAATTGTGTTGGAAAATGTTTTATTGTATATTAATACATTTGGAATAGAAGAATAGAATATCCTATTAATTAATATTGACTTTTTTCCCCATTGACAGGAACAAAGCCAATTTTTCTGCACTTTATTCATGCAGTTAAACCAGACAGCATCAGCTTATCTAATGTTAAACACATAATTAAACTAGCAAGAACTTTAAGTTATTAATCAATTATATAATCATGCAAGTTATACACTTGTCAAATATTATGTATCACTGCTGATTTGTGTCTAAAGGTTGGCCCGGACCTGAGGGAACCTTGCCCAAGTTTACTTCAAAAAAAAATGTGTGTGTGTGTATAGAATAAAATAAAAAGCAGACTTTTAATAACTGACCAAGAGATGTTTGTTTGTTTATTTAGAAATGAAGCTATTGTTTTTGGCCTTTTGTTTGTCTGTGGAACCAACTTAGAAACTAAATTAAACATAATGAGGCTTGGAGTAAATGTATAGTTTAGAAGTGCTTAACACAATTTCTTGGAGATATTTGTAGATAAAATTCACCTGCAACTCTCATCCAAAAGTGTCTTTTTTTAAACAAACTCAGCTACTCTTCTGTTTCTTGTACAGATGTTGTAGGTCTCTGCCTAAGCGTGATAGTTCAAACAAAAGAAACATATAGAGCATCACAATAGTGCATCAGTGGCTTATTGTGTTAAAATCTGTAATGCAGGATTTAGGAGCTGTATATTTGTATTACAATGTAATAAAAATAATCACAACCCTATCTACTTTGGTTTTGTAAAAAGCAGCCTACTCCCCTAACATGTTCATTAGTGTCTTCCGCTTCTGCTGCCAGGCTGAGTGTGTTATTGGCTCATCAGCTCAGTCCACCACAGCTTGTATTATTGATATGTTGGCTCAGTTATTTAGGTCTCCAATCTGGTCTAGAATAAAGTAAGGAACATAATAAGGACGTGTCTGATTGAGTCGTGGTCATCTACGACAGAACGTTAGATTCTACACCTTGGTTTACCATTTCTCTGTGGGAATGTGTCCTTGGTCCTGTGAAGGTTTGGAGATGTTATTCACTTTTTGATGTGTCTATTAATACTGTACTATGTTATAGAGGTTTGTTTAGCCAACATTTGTATTGTAGTAGTATAACTCTGCTCTTAGTGTTTTTATTTTCAGAGATTGAATTAACTTAGATGGTATGTTGAGTAGCACTTGAAATGTGTTGGCTCTATGAAACCTGATGTACTTATATGATTCTGTTTTCTTCAAGGTTGTGTCTTCCTGGTCGAATGTACTTATTGTAAGTCGCTTTGGATAAAAGCGTCAGCTAAATGCAATGTAATGTATGTATTGCTTTTTAATGACTGCTTTTTAATGACTGTTTTTAAATGCCATATTCTTAATGTCTTTCCTTGTTGTAAAGCACTTTAAATTGCCTTGTGTTGAAAGGTGCTATATAAATAAACGTGCCTTGCCTATGTATTTAAATGTCAATAGGCTATAGAAAACGGGGGAAAACAATAAACATATAGCTAACTATTTCTATTGTCTATAAACTATGATAACGATAATTGAGTGTTTCCTTTATTGAGGGTCTGTATTTCCGTTATTATTTTTATAACAATATGGATAGACAAACCAAATGTATTCTATGTGAACACAATGGGGTGTTTAAACACTAGGAGCATCCCACAGATATATGTGTGTGAGAAAAACAGAGCTAAATATTGCATCCCTTCATCCATGTCTCAAGAGTACATAGTGCTTAATAAGTGTTTTCTGTCTTAAAGGGGTTCTATTATGCAGATTTCCAGGTTCATATTTGTATTTAGTGCCTCTACTGTGACATGTTTACATGCTTTAATGTTAAAAAAATGTCTTTATTTTTCTCATATTGCCTGTGCTGCAGCACCTCTGCTCTGATTGGTTAGCTGGCCGCTCTGTTGTGATTGCTCAACCGCTTAGAGATGTCCCGCCCCTTAGCCAATGTGTTGGGGCGCTAGCCAATAGAAGCGCAGGTGTTTCCTAGTGATGTCACTATGTAGCGGAGAAAAACAAAGTAGTCCAATCGAGGCGTCTCAGGCATGGGGTGAGGAAAGGGGAAACCCCAAAAATCCTAATAGGGCCCCTTCAATCATCTAAATCCGCAATAATGTATTTGTTTTATGACTTGTTCATTCTGTTTATCGGTTTAGGCATTCTTACCAGGAAGTCATGGTGATCGTCCTGCAGCAAAGCTACAACATCAGCACCGGACACAGCTCCGTATCGGACCCCGGTGCGCTACCCCGGGCAGTTCACACCTTGGCAGCCGTGTTCCTGGGGGTTATTCTGGTCCTGGGCTTCCTTGGTAACTTCCTCGTGCTGATGGTGTTCTCGCGTTTCCCCGGGTTGGTGACTCCTGTGAACCTGCTGCTGATCAACATCAGCGCCAGCGACTTGCTCGTCTGCATATTTGGGACCCCCCTCAGCTTCGCGGCCAGCGTGCGCGGCCGGTGGCTGACCGGGTCCTCTGGGTGCCGCTGGTATGGTTTCTCAAATGCATTTTTTGGTGAGTGATCGTATTAACTCCACCATAAATAAAAGTGTTAGCATCCGTAATAAATCAAAAAGTACTTTCATATTTCAAAAAGAAGATTTTCTTTTAAAGTATTTATGTTTAGATACATGTTGTGCAGTTGTACCCATTTTAGTTAATCTAATTTAACAATAGAATGCATCCTATTTTAGATGTTAAATGTAAACCCTTGTATCTGCAGCTGTACATGCAATGGAGTAAAAGTACACATTCTGTGAATTTAGGTCAGAGTTGATTCAACTCGCAACTCGAGACTATCATGAAATTATTCCTATTCAACTCAGTTGAATAGGAATAATTTCATGATAGTCTCGTTTGATGTCTCGCTGCAGTTCTTTGCTGTTCTTCTCTCTGTCAGGTATAGTATCTCTGGCGTCTCTCTCTCTGATGTCCTTTGAGCGGTACTGTGTGCTGCTCCACAGCTCCCCCTCAGACTCCTCCCAGTACCGCAGGGCCAGACTCGCTGTCGCTGCCTCCTGGCTTTACTCACTGGTCTGGACTCTGCCACCACTGCTGGGCTGGAGCAGGTCTGAATCACTCTTTAGAATCACCATGAAACAATTTCACTAATCAGATAATTCATGTATACTTATTCAATCAAATGCATGCTTAAACTAGGAGGATAGTATATGTTACTTTAATTAGTTCGTAAAATACATATTAACAAGTGACTCGTTTAAAAGTAAATAACAAAATTAAGTTTTGCTTTTCTGAAAATGTCTGTACAATTGTATGTCATGGAGCAGCTACGGGCTGGAGGGTCCTGGCACCACCTGCTCCGTCCAGTGGCACCAGCGCTCGCCCACAGCGCGCTCCTACATCAGCTGTTTGTTCATCTTCTGCCTGCTGCTGCCGCTGCTGCTCATGATCTTCTGTTACAAGATCCTGCTGGCTGTGCGATCGGTGGAGAGACAGGTGAGCGTGCAAAATGACCTTTGACCCCTCTGTGTATTATATGTGTTGGGTCATTTTTTTTATAGGGTGCCATTTGGACTTCATAAGTTGGGTGAAATAAATAGTTGATTTACCTACTTTTTAATGTTCTATTCTATAAAGGACATATCTAATTTGCTAAAAAACAAAAAACACACCAGTGTTTGTGGAAGCTATGTGTGAGTGTGTGCGTCCAGCTACAAGGAGAGAGAAAAACAACTACAAAGAGAAACAAAGCAACTTCCAAGTGATTCAACACAACTTCAGGGAGACAAAGAACAAACAGAGACATGTCTACAAGGGGACTAACAATTACAACAAAAAGAGACAAATAAACTAGGTTGCTGAAAATAACAACAAAGCAAGAAAAGGTTACTACAAAGAAACTCAAAATAACTCCATACACCCAAAGCAACTACAAAAATACATACAAGCTATTAAAAAAGAAGCAACAAAGACAACTAATAAGACACACACAATTACAAAAAGGGCCCAAACAAACTCAGAAAAAAAAGGTTAAAAACTCCTGTAGAGAGCGTGTCAGGGCCCAACATCTCATAATCACTGTGTCTCCAGGTCAGCAGGATCAACCGGCCCTCAGCTGAGCGGAGGGAAGGCCGTGTCCTTTTAATGGTGGTTTCCATGGTGACAGGCTACATATTGTGCTGGATGCCATATGGCGTTGTGGCAATGCTCGCCTCATTTGGGCGGCCGGGAGGGGTGTCGCCTGCCGCCACTTTAATACCATCCCTGCTGGCAAAGACCAGCACCGTCATCAACCCGGTTATATATGTGCTGCTCAACAACCAGGTAACAACACCTTCCTGTAAACATCCCTAACACTGTCATCACACAATCACAATTATGAGAGACTTGTACTTTACTTCAATTGTGTTCTACTTTGTACTGCTACCCGCTACAATTCAGAGGTAAATCGTGTACTTTTTACTCCCCTACATAATTTAATATCTTTAGTTACTTTGCAGATTTCAATTCCTGATGTAAAAATATAATCAACACTTAAATAAGGTTTTTAGTTACACTTGGATTAACATTCACAAGCTACCCTGCAGCATACAAAGTAAATAAGACTGCACCTTTACCAGCTTTGATATACACATTACTTCATCAATAATTATAATAAAAAAATACAAAATATATTATTTTAAAATGGGCCAATTTGGATAATGAGTACTTTTGCTTTTTGTACTTTAAGTATATGTTGATGCTTATACTTTTGCACTTTTACTTAACATTTTGAA